TCCCCCTCTCTTGTTGAATAGAATATCACAAATATCTTTGTCAGGATAGAACCCCACGAGATCAATCTGTCTATGTAAAAGACTAAAGAGCATAATTAAAATCATGCAAGGTTCAAATTCATTGACTAAGTAGTTACTATATTCAATTATTAACTAAGCCAACATTACATTCTAATTAAGTATATGATTTTTCCTGTACGATTTAAGGCAATAATGCAGTTTTAATTTTATGGTTGATTGGTAACATTTCCTCGTAATTAATACGCAAGCATTCTTAATTTCTTTGTACATGCTTTTGCGTTGTTAAAGACATTGCTCTTGCATTATAGAATTCGCAGTCCTATTTTCTTCGAAGTAAAAGTGTATGGAGACTTCTCCTGGGTCAAAGAAAAAAGGGAAAATCTATGCAGATGTCATTTTCTCTTCTCCATTTGATCACCGAAAATGTCAAATGTGATTATAGCCCAAAAAAGAAAAGTTATTTATCATTGCCAAGGGTAAATCTTCTTTTAATGATTATAACCTGAACACTGAATGAATGTAAAAACACAAATTTATGAGGTATCTTTGTCTCAATAAATTCTAGCGAGATTAATATCCACAAGCAAATTAACTATAATGACTGACGAAGGTTTTTATTATTCACTCAAATTATTGCCCCGACGTACTATTGCAACTATGCGTTTGGCAAGAAAAGTGCTGGTGTCACTGCAATCTTATACATAATGTTCAATGTTGCATCCCTTTTAAAAACTTTTTTACAGTATGAAAATTTATCATTGTTATTTATGAAAAAGTAAAGATGATTCATAATTAATTATCAAAACATAATGCATCTAGACAGAGAAAAATAAAAAAGAAAAACCAATAAAAACATGTATGTTAAGTGGTCGTCACAACATGTACAGGTTCAATTAAGACCTGTCTTATCTAACAAACTATATTACCTTAGCTATAGGACTGTAGTTGAGGTGTGCTTGAGTTATAAATATTAAACGCAACATATTTTGGTCAGGTTTGGATTACATTTCCTTGTGTCCTAACTCATTGCATAATGTAGAATTTGAATAACAATCACAGTCACATTCTGATATTCTATCTGTAATTAGAAACAATTGTAATTCAAAACCATAGCAACAAATAAGTGGAATTGATAACAAATAGATAATCATAAAATCTCTTGATCATAGGAGATTAGTTAAATGGTCTCACGTAATATTTAAAACTTATATTTAGTTTAATAAAAAAAAAATTGAGTCTGGAATGAAGTTAAATTCATTTGAACCTATTTTGCTGACACAAAGTAAAATAGAGAAGCTAGGGATATGCCGCTGGTACTCCAATTATTGAGTTGGGATCCTTTTCACAAAGCAGTATGAATGATGAGTGTGGTAATCCCTTTAGTGATTGCCACCTGAATCTGGCAATAATGATAAGATGCAATGGTTGTTAAACCTTGCTAAGCCAACTACTGTTTGGTCTGATTGGGAAAAGGACAAAGAAACTCTAACAAAAGTAAGTACGACACTCGACAATGTGTGCCTAAAACAGTTAGGTCTCTTTTGTGAACTAGAGAAAATATCAGTGCTGATATGAATGCATTCAATTTGAACCACCGAAACGTGAAAATGAGTTGTAATATCAACTACTAGTAACAAGAAGTCACGGATTTATATGTATAAATTTGAATTATGAAACTCATGCATGGTGATAATCCTTACCATTTGTATCGGATAAGACACTACTTGATCTTATTTATAAAAAAAAAAAATTGAGTACAAGTAAATTGATTCAGCAAGCCCAATAACTTATAATACTATTTATAAAAGAAAAATAAGAAGTATAAATAAATAAATGACTTTTCAATATTAAATAGTATTTATTATTCAGAATCAAATCCTGACTTTAGCATTAAAGTATCTTTTACAAGTACTCTCCTCACATTAAGTTACATCAATAATAATTAAAAAAACGTTATTATTTCAGAACAGAAACTTAAAGACTAGTATTTCTCTAACAAAAATATCGTTGATTTTATTACCATGTTCTTTATGATCAAGTGATATTTGCATAAACTTATATTTGATTAATTTGTTATTTAATTCAGTTCAAATGAGACATTCACGTCGAGACTAAAAATTCATAAAAGTATTCCTATATTACGCAAATAATTGGCCTCTCTACTACGTACTGGATCTGATGGTGCAAGTTTGTATTTTGTGATTAGCCTATCTTGCCTCACTAGGGTCTAAAGTTTAAGACTATAGGTTCCTAGAAAAGGGTTGAAGTGAATAAATGATTGTAGACCAAATTAAATACACTCAATTATATCATTATTTAACAAATGACTTTGACTTGTGTAATTATTTATCTAATTTGGTATAATACTGAATAGGCACACCCGGCGCATACATGAAAACTGTCGCTAATAACAGAGGTGTTAATGGACACTTAAAAACTGGCTCAGAGACTTACTGCTTTTTATTTTTAATATTTGCGAGAAACAGTGCGAGAATACACTAACCAAGGATTTCAAAACATGCAATCAAATTAATTTAATGTCATGTTTTTTTTATGTGAATGAGTGCCCTATGTAATCCAAACTTTTAACTATTCAACCTTGATTTTCGTGTCAAACGTGAGGTAAGACCTGACGTAGACTCTGGTAGAGTTTATCTTTTTAACGTGTTTAAATACATAATAAAAATAGTATTTTTTTTATTAAAAATACAATATTTAATAATTTGAATATAAATTAAATTTTATGATTTTTTATAAATTTTTATTTTATGATTATAAATACATATTAAAAAAACTGATTTATAAATAATAAAGTCTTAGAAGTTTGTCGGTTGATGTTTGGCTGTTTGGAGTCTTCTTTAATGTTATAAAAAGACAAGACACTAAATTAATTCATATGAGACTAAAATGTTGCAAGTTTTACCAGCATTTCTAAATAGTAAATGTTTTCCCGTGAAACAAAACCATTTGGTTGATATACGTTGACTAATTCTGTAACTTCATGTTGATAAATTATCTTCTCGTAAAATAATTGTAATTATTAATTTTATATCAATAAATAATAAAATTAGTAATTTATTTAAAAATATATAAATATTTTTTAATTTTTAAAATATTAAAAGAATTATAATTCTTCATCTAGAAAAAGTACTCAATGTTCTTCTAAATACTATTGAAAATTTTCAAACTAAAAGCCCAATAAGCTATTTTGTCGTCGAAATACCTTTTTTGTTGGCTCTAGACATAATTATTTTCCAAATGTAATATTTCCCAAACATTGCTGAGATTCTGACGATTATTATTGGGCTAAAATTTTGTACTGAAACTGTGAGCATTTGTGCTAAGAAAAGAGAGACATTTATGTGGCCCAATAATAAAATTTAGTGCTGTTAGCGAAGAATAAGATTCAGATTAAATAAACTTTTTGAGAAATTTTTATAAAAAAAATAGTATAGAAAATAATAAAAATTTTCATAAGTTAAATATAATTTATGGAACAGATCTTTTCACACTAACATAAATTCAAAAATTCTTTAGATGTAAGTTAAATAAAAGATTTAGATCAAGTATAATTTATGTGTATATAAATATAAATTAAAGTTGCTTAAGAGTTGAAAAATAAAAAGTTATATATAATATTTATATTTTTTATAAAATTTTTTAGAAATTTATCCAAACTAAGAATAAGGAAACGTAGCTTATCACGAAAATTTTATTTACACCTTCCCCGGAAATGATTAAGTTCTCGAGCCAATGAGAAAACTTGGTGGGAAATATTGTTATTGAATATGTTATCGTTATGCTACCAAGCTACAATTAATCACGGGTTTGTAATCATATGCTAAATGTAAAATCAGGGAGAACACGTTTCTCTTACTTTCTTTTCTTGAGATGGTATTTATCTGATTTATGTCAAGTTTGGCTAATTTAAATTATTTTAAGTTATCAGATTTTTCTGCAACAATTTAAACTGAAGATAGAGTGAATATAGTTTTTTTTTTTTTTTTTAAACTGTCTCAGCCATGCAACGACTGATCAACATCTCTGTTGGTTTGAGATGAAGAAGATCAAGTCTTTTAAGTATGTAATCGTGAGTTTGATTCTAAAAGTTTTATGTATGAAAGAAAAGCTATTGAAAAGGATTGCTTTGATGCTGTAAAAATTAATCAACGCATAATTTTTATTTTTCATAATAAAACGCTTATACTCATAGTCAAGAAAAATAAAGAAGCATTAAACCCAGAAACATAAACAAACCATTACAAGCCGAAGCCAAATAATGAAAGTTTAAGGAATTTGCATGAAAAGAAAATATTAAGGTTCCCCTATTATTAATGTAAATGATGGATTAAAATAAATTAATAGGCCCTATTTAGTTAAATAAATAAGGCAAGAGATATATAGAGCACGTACACACAAAGAAATGTTTATGCAAAAGATAATTTATTCAGAAACTACTATAAAGAAACTAATGTCTTTTTTTTATAGCTTTTGCAAAGGTTTATTTTTTCAAAAAACTAAAATCAATACATCTTCTATATAGTAACTCATTTGCATTTCAAAAGTTATTTTAATAAGCCCATTCAAACCCAACCAAAATGCTTCATAATTACTTGTTTAATAAAGAAAATAACTTGTTTAAACTAAGCTAATACGATTTGTTGAAGATACAGTTATGATTTTATAAATTTGACAGTATAAATTTACTTTTGCTAATGAAGCACAAACTAAGCTAAAAATCATGAAACATGATCAAATTCTTGACCTTAATTAGTCAAATAAAGAATGACTTTATCAGTCACTTAAATGCTTAATTATATTTTTTTTTCCTCTTTATTCTTTAACATACAATAGTTCAAATTAAGTTCATCATCTAAAATTCTCATCTAATAATTAACAAAAGTATAATGAAAGTATGCTATATCATTGGTTTATATAATAATTTTCTATTTTTATTTAAATTATAATTTTTTTCCTTTGTAAATTTGTATGGATCAATAATATATTACATCTTTATTATAATTTTACTAATCATTGAATAAAATTTTAAAATGAGAGACTTAATTTAAACAATTAAGAGATGAAAATATTAGCAATTAAAATTAAAAGACTAGGACTACACATAAATTAAAATATAGGAACCAAGAGTGTTTATAAATCAAACAAATTCTAAGTTAGAAAAAACTAAGACGGTTTTCAATCACTGTGTCACCCTCAGTAAGCCCCCAATGTTAAGCGCATATGCCTTTGTTTTGGCCTTCCCCCTCCATACAAGCAAACTGACATACACTGAACTGATTCACAGAGAATATACAATGAAAGACAACAATAAATGAAGGAGAAAATCCAAGAAATAAATGACCTTTGTCTACAATATACTACTCAAGTTCCATTCTGTACTGTAATACTAGTAACCAATTTTTGGCACAACAAGAAGGATATAAGAATCCAAGCAACCTTGTAGAGACAAAAGTAACAAAATGAATTAATCAATTTTTCCTTTGTCGGTTAGTTTCCCTATGCTTTGCTTGGAAATGTTGGGATACTTTGTTCATTCCAGAAAAAGTTATCTGGATCAATTGCACTTTTAACCTTCACCAACCTTTCAAAATTTTTATTGAAGTACTTTATACCATAAACCTCTCCTTCTTCATAGCTATCCATACCATGCCTATTGATACCAATATCAAGGTCCCTATAATTGAAATAAGCACTCCTTGGATTCTTGGACACAAATGGGGTCATATAACTATATAGCATTCTAATCTGACCCATAAAATTCTTCTCTGCCGCAGCTGCTGGTTCTTGCCAACTTACTGAGTACTGAAGTTTATACAAATTCCCTTTACGGTGAGGAAATGGAGTAGCATCGAAAGGGACCTCATTCATTTTTCCTCCATAAGGGTTGAAAACAAGTCCAACTTTTCCCAACTCAATCATCTTCTTCCAGATCCATTTCAACCCATCTTTGGAAATTGGTGTCTGAACATAGTCAGATTTCTTTTTGTCAAAATGCACTTTGTAATGGTTTCGATCAAGCAGTGCATCCAACGAGGACCCATCATTGAAATTGGCCCACCAAAGCACAGAATCAATCCACCTCATTTCATTACAATTTTCCTTCTTAAGTCCTAACAAAGGAAACTCCTTTTCCAACAGTGTGACAAGTTCATTAGCCCCTCCTAGAAATAAAGCCTCAACTGAGGCTATGATGGTTTTCTGCCCCTTTATAACCTTGGAACTCACAGGCTGTAGGACCAGCCTCATGAAAAGCCTATCATCTATATATGGTGCAACCTGTTGCCACTGGAAAACAAGATCAGTGGCATTTTGCTCCAAGGTCTTGTCAACATGAAAAAGTGTAACCTTCTCTGGTACTGGAACTAGATTAACTGTGTACGATAATATGACTCCAAAACTTGCTCCTCCACCTCCTTTAATGGCCCAGAAAAGGTCTTCTCCCATAGTGCTTTTATCAAGAATTCTACCTTTGACATCAACAATTTTAGCATCAACAATGTTATCAACAGATAAACCATATTTTCTTAGCATGTTTCCATACCCTCCTCCACTAAAATGGCCACCAACACCAACAGTTGGACAAACCCCTGCAGGGAATCCATGAACATTACTCTTCTCCCAAATCCTGTGATAAACTTGTCCAAGACTTGCACCAGCTTGAACCTCAGCAATCTCATTTTTTATGTCCACAGTGATATTCTGGAAATGGAACATGTCAAGGATCATAAAGGGTACCTCAGAAACGTATGAAAGTCCTTCAAAATCATGGCCCCCACTCCTTATTTTGAGTTGAACACCAATGCTTTTGGCGCAAACCACAGTGGCTTGTACTTGGTACTCATGCGAAGGAGTGACAATAAGTAATGGTTTTTGGGTTGAGGGGGTGATGAACCTGGCATTCCTAACAAAGGCTTGAAGAGTAGAGGTGTAGGATGCATTGGTTTGGGCATAGACTATGTTATAAACTTGATCTTGTTGGTTTGTGTGGCTTTGAAGACACTGAAGAAAAGTGTCATAAATGGACTCCCTTGATGGAGATACTAGAGAATTAGAGACATGTAGGAGCAGAACAAAAAAAGAAAGACATGGAAGAAGCTTTGTTTTTTCCATTTGTTCAATTTCTGGAAAGCTATGTGCAGGATTGGTGCGGTTTGAAGACTTCGTGGTTGGACCACAAATATTGTCTTGATGATGACAGTGCCCAATAATTGAGGTTTGCTGTCGTCAACCCAATTGAAGATTTTTTTATTGCCACTTATCATCCACTTTCATTAAATAACTAAATACTGCATACAGTGAGTCAGTGTTTTACCTATAGTCTTTCAGTTTCTGGATGCTTTGGTGTCTTTCTATTTTTGAGATTAAACTGAGTTGGAAGTTGTACTAAAGATTCTTGGCATATTTATATTTACTTAAAAAAAAAAACACACACACACATGTATAATTAACATGTATTACATATATGGGTTTTAATAATTAATCCTTCAGAGATACTGATTAAAAATAAAAAATAGATAAATCTTTTTTGTTAGAATTTATACTGGGAGTCATGTGTGTATTAACAGCATTTTCTTATATATTTGTGTATATAAGAAATTAAAATGTCCTTTCCATCTTGCTTCATTAAGAAATCGCCCGCATAAGAAATCTAGAATTATTCCCTACTGATAAATAAGTTCTCCATTATTCACCTGCGTCCTCTGGAATCATATGATGATATTATAATTTTACATTATCCATTGGAAGCTTTTACTCACTTCAAGATTTCTATTCTTTAAAACAAATTCCAAACCACTGGTTCTCTTCAACAAAATGAGGAATCAATTTGAGTGCTAAATGTCTTGGTTGGCCATAAGAATTGCTAGCTGCATAAATTTCCAACGGTCCTTTCAGAAGCAATTCATTCACTCAGCTCGGTTTCAGCAACATTCTTTGCCCCAGCAAGTAAGAAGTGAGTAACACAGAATTATGAAGTGAGTAACACAGCATGATAATTCTAAGTCCATTAAATAAGACTACAACTTTTCCTTGCAGGGGAAAAAGAATAACACAACCTAATAATCCTAAGTCCATGTATGATTACAATAATTATATGAATGTTTGAAGTATGAGTAAGCAAACCACCTTTACCATTAGTTTCCAATATAGGCTGGAGTTTAACAATTTGCCAGCACCAGATTTAGCAGCACGAGAGTTCAATCCTGCAATCAGTGAAGGCAAGACTTTCAACTATAAGTACTGCAACCTTAACTTGGGATTAGAATGGGATCACACTAACAAGATGTAATAAAAGAAAAAGTATTTTTTTTTTTGTTTTCTACTGTTTTTTTTAAGTAAATGTACTTCAAAGATCATTTACAATGGCAAGAAGAAATAACATCACTCACATGATATGGAAACAATTGATTGATATTTGATTTTATTTCCTTAGGCCACCGAGAACTGTTTGGCATCTAAAGACCATTTAAAATGATAAAAGGCATAAGACAAATTCAAAATAAAAAGAAAAAGGAAAATAAGTAAAACAAGGAGAGCCATTCAATTGATAAATCTATCTGTATAACTAACAATATTTTAGTCCCTATGCCATGTTGATTGGGTGAGAAACACATGCATACGCATAAAGGCATTACTCTCTGTCGGGTCCATTCAGGACCTAGTTCACGATTGTGAAAATAACAAGTTCAAGCTTATACTTGGGGAAAATAATAAGGTTTTTTAAAAAATAACCACAAGAGTTCAAATTTGTTTTTCAACCATATTCTCATCTTACTAACTCACCCCCCAAAACTTTTCTGGTTCAAAATAGTTGACAACAACCAAATAAAACGCCACATATTCAATATGAAAAAAGAATAATAAAGGCAAGATCAGTAAGAGCAGCTTGATGGATCTTTGGTTCCTAAACTATTTTCTAATTGTTGCACTGACAACGTTTACCTAAGTCAAGTAATTCCAAAGATTGGGTCCACTGAAGGTGCTTCGTAATTTAACATGTTTACAATAAACAGAATCATATATAATAATAAAGTAATATAGATAATAAATTTCAGAGCATAATGATTCATTCCAGAAAATAACGCATTAAAAAAACAAGCTCTGACACAATATATGGCTAGGCATTACTAGGCCAAGCAATTTAAAAGGAACAAACAAGTTCATTGTTTGATTATCTTTATTATTTACCCGGATGAATTGGAATACTCTGTTCATTCCTGAAAAAGTTTTCTGGATCAACAACAGTCTTGATCTTGACCAACCTCTCAAAATTGTTATTGAAGTACTTGACCCCATAAACAACTCCTTCTTTATAGCTATTCTTTCCAAAACTGTTGGTACCAATATCAAGGTCCCTATAATTAATGTAGGCACTTCTAGGACTATTGGACACAAATGGAGTCATGTAACTATACAACCTCCTAGCTTGACTAGTAAAATTGTTTTCCAAATCAACTCCTGGTTTGTCCCAATTCACTGAGTACTGAATCTTGAACAGATTCCCAGCACGGTGAGGAAACGGTGTAGCATCGGACGAGATCTCACTCATTCTTCCTCCATAAGGATTGAAAACAAATCCTGTTTTTCCCAATTCAATCATCTTCTTCCATATCCCTTCCAACCCTTCTTTTGAAATTGCTTTCTGCACATAATCAGATTTCCTCTTGAGGAAACCTGCTTCTGAATTATCATTCCTGTCAAGTAGAACTTCTGGTTTTGTAGCATTATCAAAATTAGCCCACCAAAGCACAGAACCAATCCAATTCATTTCAGTGCAATTTTCCTTGTTCAAACCAAGAGAAGGAAACTCCTTCCTCAATAATGAGACAACTTCATCAACCCTTCCAAGAAACAAAGCTATAACAGTGATTCTGATGGTTTTCGTCTTCTTCACAACCTTAGAAGTCACAGGCTGCACGAGCATCCTCATGAAAAGCCTATCATCAGTGTGTGGCGCCACCTGCTGCCACTGAAAGACAACCTCAGTGACGTTCTGGTTCTGATCCAAACTCTTGACAACCCGAAAAACAGTAACAGATTCTGGTACAGCAACCAACTTAACAGTGTATGATAGAATAACTCCAAAACTTGCTCCGCCGCCTCCTCTAATGGCCCAAAATAGGTCTTCCCCCATAGTTTCCTTATCAAGAATCCTACCATTTGCATCAACAATTTTAGCATCAATAACATGATCCACAGATAACCCATGTTTTCTCAACATATTACCATACCCTCCTCCACTCAAATGGCCACCGACACCAACAGTGGGACACACCCCTGCAGGAAAGCCATGAACTTTACTCTTCTCCCAAATCCTATAATAAACTTCTCCAAGTGTAGCACCAGCTTGAACCACAACAACCTCGTTCTGTATATCCACACTGATATTCCTGAACTGGAACATGTCAAGGATGATAAAGGGTTGATCTGAGACATATGAGATACCCTCATAGTCATGGCCACCACTTCTTATTTTGAGTTGAATTCCAATGCTTTTGGAGCAAATCACAGCACCCTGGACATGGGATTCTCGCATAGGAGTGACAACAAGTAAGGGTTTTGGGGTTGAAGTGGTGTTGAATCGGGCATTGCGGATGTAGGCTTGGAGAATAGAAGAAAATGAAGTGTTGAATTGAGCAAAAACTATGTCGGAAACTTGGTCCGAAGATTTTGTGTAGTTTGAAAAGCAGTGGAGGAAAGGGTTGTAGATTGATTCTGGTGTTGGAGCTGCCACAGAAGCAGAGAGGTTAAGAAGAAGGAAAAGGATAATCGCAGAAGCCATTATTAAACTTGATTTTTCCATTGTTTGTTGACTTGAAACTTTAAAGGTGGAAAATTGTGGGGAAGTGTAACTGCATGTTTATACAGTTATTGCTATAGAAAATGACAGTTTTTCTATGTTTTCTATTTTTTTTCCCCATACATTTAAAACACTTAACTCTTGGTTGACATCGTGGTCAGGTTTTTTTTTCCTAAACCACCAAATTGTTGCAGATAATCATGTTTATGCTGAATGATTAGTTAATAACATGTGATTAGCTTTATTGGTGAATGATTAGTCACTTCAAATGCGGCACTTCCTTTGGGCACACGTGATCGTCAAATAATCTTCCTTTTACATTATCCTTTTTTCTAATAGTTTCTAAGTTTGATCGTAGCCCATGTCCTCACTCTTTTCATAAACATAATACATGGCAAGAATTTATACACATTCACGTGGACGACACGTTAAATGTAAATTAAATAAGAAGAAACATAATTTTAATTGAATGCCGTGTTAATTAATCTAACCGATGATTTCAAAGTTTCATAAATAAATCAACTTGGTAATTCCGCGCATCATTTTATTTTAACTGATAATATCCTTTTAAAATATAAATAAATATTAAATTTTGAATTACATATTTCTGAAAGTATAAATTATATAAAATTTGATATACATAATTAAAAAATAATATAAAATTATTTAACAGTTAAATTAAATAATTTTGCATTTTATAAAAATTAACGAAATAATTGTTGTGGGTCTACTTTGTTTCTCTTTCTGAAAAATAGAACCACATCTCCCAATACAATCTAATTTAAAATTATAAGCACTATATCGAATGTTATAAACTAAGAAAAAAATAATTAATAAAAATTATAAACTGAATATATATATATATTATGTTATTTTTATGTGAAAATATGATAATACTTTTAAATTTTATTAGAAATAATCATTATTAAAAATAAAAGTCATGTAAAATTTTAAGAATTGTGGAAGAATGACATTCTTTGTCAAATTTCTTAAACGAATTGAAAGATTCACTCTTTTTTTTTATCCTTTATTTCATCAGCATGTTTTCCCTACTTTTCGGAAAAACTTTCCACTTATTTGCCTTTTTTTCTTTTTCAACATATGGTAAATGCATCCCAGCAATTAAGCCTTCTCTTAAGTTATAAAGAATATTGTTTATGTAATATTAGAGAAATTCAAAAAGAAACAGTCAACAGAATAACTGTAAAAAATTCATTTTCAAATAATGCATGGCTGACAAGTTATCTGGAAAATCAATGGAATAACCGAATTAAAAGATGAACAATACTTTAATCCTGTAATTTTTTTAACAAGTATCTCTATAAGACAGATGAGATAAAGACACTGGTAAAAATATAGGCACTTCCAAACTTACTTCCATATAGTATTTTTGTGTCACCTAAACCCTTTGAACTATGCTTTTTGATAAACCAACAACCAAATAGAATGCTGAACCCAACAACCTCACCTGCTGCTCTATTCCATTCATCATCACACCAGCAATAGTCAAGTTTTGCTACACCAAGCCAAAGAGACTACAGCTCCCTGAACCTTCGAACCGAGGCACACTGAATATCACCCCCATAACTCCTGCATTCCAAATTCTGTATGCACCATCTAGAGCTCCACCAGCCAATATCCTCAAAGCATCCCCTGAATTTCACATTTGAGTCACCCACAGATCCAAAGTTAAGTCATGCAACATATTTTCGGTTGTTGTAGGACTGAATTTCCTCACAAAAATCCCATTCTGAACCCAAGATCATCTTTGCATTTCTTTCTATGGAAACACAGGATAAAGAGAGTTGATGGGAGGGTAAGTAAAACAGTTATAGGTAAAACGAATTAAGGCACACTGGATAAAGAATGTAGAGACCATGCCCAAAAAATAAGGAGACAAAACGTGAGAGGTTACATATTGCCAGGGTAAAAGAAGCTGTGACTGGGACATGCAGAAAAGGCAGATGAAGTGCTGGACAAGTGCCTTCTTGTTAAACTTAACTGAAGCCATTGGTCTATAGTTTAAACCATAGTTGAAGGTATTTAGTGCAAGAAAATAAATGCATAGGGAGGGTTGAGAAAAGCCTATAACATAAGGATAATCTGTATCTTGCTCTTTCCCTAATGACATATTGTAAAAATTCAATATAATTTCTCTGTTTTCAAGTTGTACAATAACTCAATAGAGCAAGCCAATTACTTCATAAATTTGAAAAGGACTAACAAAAATATTGCTGACGTCCACATAGAAGCCAGGAAAGAAACTCGACTTTGCAAAGGATGGGAGCAAATAAACTTCTGAGAAAAAAAAATACTTTGGCAATATAATATAGTCCATAGATAAAGACCATGACCCTGCATAGAGAGCTCAGTGCCAACAAATTATACCCTCATCTGTCAAAGCCTCTAAATTTGTAGCTAGAAATTAAAGTATAGAATCTTGACAAAAATGTTGCTGCTGAAAAAGCTAATTCCAAAGCTGTTGAGTGACTTTAAAACGCAAAAAGGATGGCTAAATGGCTCTGAATTCCAAGAAAACATCAATAAAAATCGTGGGAAATAACCTTGTGTTGTGTAGACTATTAGTTAACAACAAATCATTTGTATTAATTCTACTAAGTACCTCTAAACAAAAGTTTTCACCCTAGAAAGAGCCTTGGGGCCTGTTTGGTTTGAGAAAAAATTTCTATTTTCACAAATAGTTACAAACATGTCACCCTGTTTACACTTTGTTTCTTGTTTTAAAAAAATTATATCAGAAATGATGAAGAGGCGGCATTTTTGAAATTATTGATGAAGAAAAAATGTTTTTACTAACCAAATAGACCCTTATGTTGTATTTGGATAAAGTAATTCTAAATTACTAAATTATATATATTTGGATAGTAAAATACAACCTTAGCCTGTCAAGAGGACTTGAATATTGGAATTCCCAGGACGGTTGGACTTTGGATCACAAGCTGCAAGAATGAATTACATGAATAAGAACCAGAATGATCAATGATCTAATAAAGATATACACCAAAGGTTTACATAGTTCATATTTAAGTCCATAAGAAGGATGGATTTATTCTAATTTTCAGAGAAAGAAGTAGAATGTGAGTCTTGGATTTACTGAACTGTCATTGGGCTTGATCATGTTTGGATAATTTTATTCCTATGTAGCTTGTGATAATAAAGACTGTCATGTAAACAGGTTAGCATTAGATCTATTATAAAGGTTAGGATTAGCTTTTAATATGGGTTGTAACAGGGATAGTACCAATTTTTTATTATGAAATATTTTTTCTACTTTTCTCTGGTTTCTGAGAGGAAGATTAGCCCTCTGTGGCAGTGTCCCAGCTCTCCTTGCTCATTCTTGGCCTCATTGTTTCACTTGATTGCCATAAATTCAAGTTTCAACCCTAGTTATCTAGTCATCTCATCCTAATCATGAATATTACAAAGATATTGACAAATGTATTGATTCACTAATAGTTAGGGTTGGAGTTGCCTTATAAAAAAAATAACAGAAACAAATATACAAGCAAATAAAGGAAAAGAGGAAGAACAAACTTACTCAACCTGTCTAATATATTAACTAAAAGCAATGCCACTACTGCAAACTTCATTCTTCTATAACTAGGAGCTGTTTGTAAATTTAAATATGCAGTTTTGATCCCAATGGTAGTCGTAGATTCTGTCTTTGTCTTGTGTGCTTCTCATCTGCTACCAATAGTCACCACATGAGCAGACCCCATCTTGAAAATGATGATATCGAATAGGGTCTCTAATTACAATGTGCCGCTGCTCTAACTTTGATAGAAGTTTTGCGAATATATGACAATCTCCACAGATCTTTAGGTTCTTCCATATTCTAATAGTTTTCTCCTTCGGCAAGCTTATGATACCAAACACAATTGCCAGTTTCTCACTGTGGTATCGAAGGGAGTCTTCTCTCTGTTCCCCTTCAAGATCTTGTAGTACAAAATTTGTGTCAGGAACATATCCAGCACCAGTTAGTTTACAAATATACTGGTTCAAGTGTCTATTGATCTCATCTATTTGAGGATGTGATTTATCTCCCAAAATAAAAGCATGTATTTTCTTATTGACTTCAATCCAGCTACATCCAGGTTCTTTTTTTATTCCCCTTATTCTCATAGTCCTTCGAACTTTTGCAACATCATTCCACCTTTTCGAATTTGCATAAATATTAGATAACAATACATAGGCTCCCGTGTCCTGTGGATCCAATTTTAGTATCTCCTTAGCAGCATATGTGGCTAAATCCACATTCCGATGAGCCCTGCATGCATCAAGCAGAGTCCTCCATGTCACAACATCTGGCTTACAATTCATTTCATGAATTAACTTAACCATGTCATCAAGCTGCCCAGCTCTTCCAAGAAGATCAAGCATGCAACCATAGTGTTCTCTTCCAGGATCTACCCCATAAAGGTTCTTCATAGATTGAAAATAGTTCCAACCTTCATTTACTAGCCCTGCATGACTACATGCAAACAGAACCCCAAGTATTGTGATATAATTTGGTTTTGGACCAAGGACTTTCATGGACTCAAATAAACCGAGTGCTTCCTTGCTGAAACCATTTTGGGCTAACCCAGCAATCATGGTGCTCCAAGAGATAACATCCTTCTTAGCCATATGATTGAAAATGAACTTCGCATCTTCCAAACTACCACATTTACAATACATATCCAAAAGTGCATTGTTAAGAATGAGATCTTGATCAAACTTCAGCACATGAACATGAGCCTGCCTCCCTAGCTCTAACAACGACAAACTAGTACATGCTCTCAAAACACTCGTGAGTGTTGACTGATCGGCCGGAAAGCCTCCTCTCCTCATGCTCTTGTAGAGGTATAAAGCCTCATCCCCATCACTGTGCTGAGCAAAAGCAGCAATGATGGAGTTCCATACAACAGAATCTCCGGTCACCATCTCACGAAAAACATTAAGAGCTTCCAACAATTCACCCAGTTTCGAATAAACATCAATAAGCGCACTGCGAACAAAGACATCAGACTCCAACCCCACTTTCATTATGCAAGAATGAAGCTGTTTAAGGTCAGACAACCCCTCACACGCCCTCAAAACAGAAGAGAAAGTAAACATGTTAGGCATGACACCTTCCCTAAGCATAAGAACCAAAAGCCTCATAGCCCTATCATTGAGTTTAGCATTAGAGTAAGCAGATATCATAGTAGTCCACGAAACAACATTTCGTTCAGCCATTTTATCGAACAGTAGATGCGCTTCCTCCAAGAGGTTGAATTTGACATACATATTGAGAAGGGTGTTGATCAAAAAGGTTTTTGGTTGGTACCCATTTGAGAATATGTGGTGATGAACGCGCTTGCCTTCACTGACAGCCCCGAGAGCCAAGCAACACTTGATGAGCTCAGAATAGGTGATAGCATCGGCCCAGACTCTGCGTCCTTCCATGGAGTCCAAGACATGCATGGCTCTGGGAAGGTCTCTTTGGTAGCAGAGGTTGAGTAATGACCCAGTTGTTTCTGTGGGCACATAGCGTGTGGATGCAAGAGATGAGCAACTATTGTATGAACGACAATGCAACAATTGTAAGTACTTTGAAACACCTTTCATGGGTTCGGTTCACTAGTTATGTCGTCGCAGGTCGGCATACAACCTTTTTACGAAACATCAACTTTAGGACTTGGTTGTATGAGGAATCCAATTAAACCGAGCATAAACGTTAGGATGGAAACGAGAAAAGTGAAGTTAGACAAACCTTTTTGTTATTAATGTCTCAAAACACTAAATAAGTAATAGTTGTGAAAAAAACAGAGAGCTGATTGAAATTTTTTAAAAATAAATTATGAGAACTGTTCTTTAAGCTTTTAAGAATAAAAAATAAATGATATAGTTATGTTTTATTCCACAAAATCACGTCAGATTAATAATTTTAACTTCACAACTATTAATCAATACAAGTTTTTTCCTTAAAATAGGTAAAGTGTGTAAATAGATATTTTAGGCAAGAAAAAGAAAGGCTTTCAAACATAAAAAAATACAAAATTAATACAAAATTTTAAATTAAAAAAAACTTAAAAATATTTGATTATGAAAGTTTTAAAAAATTTATAAAACATATTTGTCTCATCTAAAAAATTTTAAACAAGTATTCTAAACAAGTATAATAATCACAAAAACTTTCTTCTTCCTTCTCTTTTCTCTAAAAATTAACTCTCAAACATTTTTCTAAAAATTTTCAATAAGTTGAATTATACTATTACTTTTTTTCATGTAACAATCTTAGCTTACAAATTGAAATTAACAAAGTCTCCTGACTGGGAAACTACAATTGCATTACAAATAATTCTCTAACCTATAAATTTTAAGACAAGCATCAAGTCTGAGTCGGTTTTCCAGGACATTGCTTGCTTCTATACTTCTTCAAGCCTTCTTCTATTCTGACATTCTACTGTTACCACATGCAAGTGATGGGATACTTTGTTCATATCTAAAAAAATTGCTTGGATCTACCATGGTCTTTATCTCTACTAGTCTATCAAAGTTTCTTTTGAAATATTTCTCACCCCAAATACTAGCCTCTGCATAACTAGCACTTGCAGCTCCATTGACACCTATATCAACATCTCTATAGTTCAGATAAGAACATCTAGGTGACTTCGACACAAAAGGAGTCATGTAATCATAGAGCCTCCGAATCGTATCTAAATATCTATTTGCAACATCTTCACCCTCTTCTTTCCAATTCACCGAGTACTGAATTTTATATATGTTACCAGCTCTATGTGGAAATGGTGTCTCCAGCTCAGAAATCTCACTCATTTTCCCACCATAGGGATTGAATGTGAGAGAAAGCTTCTCTAGTTCCATCATCTTGTTCCATATACCTTCAAGGCCAATTCTGGAAATGGGTTGTTGCACATAATCCGATTTCCTCTTCAAGAATTTCTCTTGGGTAGCATGCCTTTGAAGCAAAACATCAACTGAAGTCCCAAGTGGATAGTTATACCAAAACAACACTGAATCAATCCAGCTCATTTCAATGCACTGTTCACCAACCAAACCCAGTTCAGGGAAGCTCTCATTCATTACATCAAGAAGCTGTTCAGCATTTCCAAGAAACAAGGCCTTGAACTTAGCCCTTATTGTCTTCTGACCCTTTTTTTGCACTGGACTAAGAACCACTCTAATAAACAACCCATCATGTAACTTATCAGCAACATATTGCCATTGATGAACAATATCAGTAGCACCTTGTTCCAATGTTTTTTCAACTCTAAAAACTGTCACAACCTCAGGTACTCGAACCAATTTGATCTTCCATGAAACAATGACCCCAAAGCTAGCTCCCCCACCTCCTCTAATAGCCCAAAAAAGATCCTCCCCCATTGATTTCCTATCCAAGACTCTCCCTTCAGCATCCACAATTTGAGCATCCAAAACATTATCCACTGAAAGACCAAACCTTCTCATCAAGTTCCCATAGCCTCCACCACTGAAGTGTCCTCCAACACCAACAGTGGGACACACCCCAGCTGGGAAAGCATGGATCTTGCTTTTCTCAGCAATCACATGATAAAGTTCACCCATTGTTGCTCCCGAGTCAACCCACACAGTCTCATCCTTCAAGTTGACCACCACTGATCTAAGCCTGAACATGTCAAGAACAATGAATGGAGCTTCTGAAACATACGAAAGGCCATCATAGTCATGCCCCCCACTTCTTATTCTGACTTCAAGACCAAGCCTTTTGCAGCATATGATTGAAGCTTGGATGTGGGACACATGAGTTGGAACCACAATGAAGGATGGTTTTGGGATTGTGGAAGAGTTGAATCTAAGGTTTCTGATGTAGGAGCCCAAGATGGGTTGGTACGAGGGGTTGTTGGGAAAATAAGTGACGGCAGAGATTGGAGAAGAAGGTTCAGAGTTGAGAGAGAGACATTGCAGAAAGGTATCTTGAAGAGGATCTAAGGCTGACATTAGAACTTGGAGCAGAAAGATTGAGAGAAGGGATTGGATGGAATTGGTGAAGTGGTAGACAAGGATAGAACTTAGAACTTTGACCAGAAAGATTCAGTTACGCATAGATACATACTTTTAAGTGAACCCAAATATTGAAAAAGTCGGTTGTTCGTTCAAAGTCTTCTTCTCGTTGTTGTAGACTCCTTGCAAGATTTTTCATTTCTTAGGGGTTTGAAAGAAAGGGGAAGATTTTTTATTTTTTTTTATGATTTAAATAAATATATTTTAATTTATTTTTTAAAAAATAAAAAATGTAAAATGATGTATTAAATTAAATTTATTATTTATTTACTATATAAATTATAATTTTTTTAGTTATAAAAAATATTTTTTCTTCTCAAAACTTTTTTTTTCTAAATACCTCAAAAAAGTAATAAAATAAAAAATATAAATTTAAAATATTTAAAATGCTCAAAGAGATATGTGTAGAGGAAAAATAATCATAATTTAAAAATGAAAAAAATTTATTAAGATACCCATAAGTATTTGCATTACCAAATTAATACATATAATTATAAAATATTAAAAAACAATTTTTACAGCATTCAAATTATGCAAATGTTAAAGAGTTTTGAGTCACTCTAAAATTTGGGTATTTTTATGAAAACGTTGCATTGTTCCCACATTTTTATTGAGATTAATGATAGATTTTTTTTTTTTTAAGGTCGTAAAATAGGTTATCTAACTTACATCGAGCTAGTTTAATTTAGATTTCAATTTTTACCAAATTGAGTTAAAAAAATAATTTAAGCGTTCAAGTTTAATTTAAATTTTACATTTTATATTTATATAAATTATGTTTATAAAATTATAAAATAAATAATAAAATAAAATAATAGTTTATATATTTTTACTTCTTATAAATTTTTATTCAATTTTTAAAATAATTTAATAATTTTACTTTAATGAATAATATATTTTCTAAAATATAAACGAAATAAGTAATCACAACTTACATCTAGAATAAATAGTAAATAGATATTAGCATAATTTTCACATATAAGTTATGAATAAAAGAAATTGGAGCTTAATTTGATTACTTAGTTTTTCAAAAGTTGATTGTAACATTTTTGTTTTCTAGTTTTTGTCCATTTTCTGTACCTAACAAAATAAATAATCTCCTACTGAACGCTGCCTAAGATTTTATTAATTAGACTATATACTGCATTAACTAATTAACTTTCTGTATCTAGCAAATTAAAAAAAAAAATAAAAAATCGTCCGAGTGTGTGTTGCCTAAAATTTTGATTAACATCTATGCGTTTTGGACCAAAAATCATTTTGATTAATTTTGAAAGGTTGGTTCCAGCCAGGGTATTCTACCCGTGATATTATAGAATTGAAGAGATAAAGTTTTTAGAATTAAAAAATAAATTGTGAAAATAAAATATTTATACTAGATAGGACATACTCAATCTCAATAATAAAAAAAAGAATCTAAATACCCTTTTAACATTAATCAAACAAGTATCTATCTGATCAGATTAAGAATAAATTAAAAGATAATTAAAATTAATTAAGATAAATAATTAAATCATTATTTACTTAATTAAAATGCTAGAATCTTGATTAGCCCATAAAACTGCCTATAAAAGAAAAATAAAAAGTACAAATAAATGGTTGATTTTTAAATATTTAATAGCATTTATTGTTTCAACTGACATCTGACTTTATCATCGAAATATCTTTTGCAGGTACATTCTTCCACCTAAGACAGAAAAAAACCAACGATACTTGCAAAGACGTCACTTTATCTCACAACAGAAAAATATTAAACAAATCAATGTAATTGTAACAGGAATACTATTAATTTTATATTATATGTTAAAATTTAAATTTAAAAATTTATAGATCTAAAAAAATATTATATTAATAATGAGATTTTTTATATTGATTAAATTTAAGTAAATCATATTTTAAAAAGAAATAACTGGAAAAATATGCTTGATGCTGGAAGACGTTGAGAAGAAAAATAAGTTCAGAGAATTTCTCGTCAAATTTAACATATAAAAAATGATCAATTATAAAATTAAATATATAACGTGCTTATTTCATATTAAATACTTTTGAATTATTTTTTTATTAGTTAATGTATCATACGAGTCTCTATGATCATGTCAAGTTTGTCCAAAATTGTGTACACTGTATACAATATGATAGCTTATGATTGCAGCTCAATGGAAAAATAAAAATATAGTTTTTTGTCTAGTTATGGCGGCATTTTGAAAAGGAGCTGCTAATATTAGTATAAATCTTAAAATTTTTACATTTAATCTAAATTTTTTATTTAACTTATATTTAATATAAAATAATAAATTATAATATATTAAATATAAATTAAATAAAAATAAAAATAAAATATAAATTTTTTAAAATTTATACTAATATAAAAAAATTTCACTATTTTTGTAAATCCTAAAAGACTGTTTCTGAGTTTACTACTATTTTAATTTTGCGTGTCTGATCTGTTTGTTGTCCCTAGCCCAGCAATCGCGGGAAACTTAAATTTACATTTCTTTTAGTGCGTTGGGAACTTAAAAATCCAGTGATGAATGTTGACCAAAAAAACAATATACTATTGAATAAGTAATGCTACAAGTATAAGCAATTTAAAGCAGTCAAATGAAAACTAATTTTGCAAGAGTGCTTCCCTTTCAGATTAATAGTATCCACTGAGAATTTACAAAGCACAGCTTCTTCAAGAATTGGCAATTGCAAATATTACGCATCATTATCATGTAGTAACTATGCCGATGCACATGTTTGCAAATTTCAGTAATTTATTCTACTATTTGGCAATTGACACCAAGCTTTTATAGTGGGGGAATGCTCTGCTCATCCCTAAAAAAGTTTCCAGGATCAACTTTGGCTTTCACTAGTGCCAACCTTTCAAAATTGTTATTGAAATATTTCAAACCCCAAGATTTTGCTTCTTCATAGTTTGAGTTTCCTCTGTTCACACCCAAATCAAGGTCTCTATAATTCAAATATGCTTGTCTAGGCCACTTTGATACATATGGTTCCATATATGCATATAGTTCCCTTATCCAATCTTCATGCTTTGGAGCCTCTTCATTTGAAACCAAATTCACAATATATTGGATTCCATATAAGTTCCCCTCTCTGTGTGGAAATGGAGTTTCTGATTCAGAAATCTTACTCATTATTCCACCATATGGTGAGAGGATCAACTGGGCTGAGTTATCCAAGAGAAGCATCTTCCACAACCCTTCTAATCCATGTAATGGAATAGGTTCCTTCACATAATCAGATTTTGCTTTGAAACTTGGTGATGTTATGTTTCTCTTGAGCAAGACCTCCATGGGTTCATCTTTTGAATAACCTGCGAAGTAAAGGACAGATTGGATCCATGTCATTTGGGTGAAGTTATTGCTTTGCAAACCCAGTTCAGGAAAACTGTTTTGCATCAAAGGAAGGAGATTTTGAGCAGTCCCAAGATACAATCCTGTGAAGGAGACCACCACAGTTTTTCCACCATCAGAAGCTGAATTAACAACTTGCAAAACTGAGTGCAAAAAAAGCTCTGAAGGGAGCTTGGGACCAATAGTTTGCCACTTGTAGAAAAGGTTAGTGGCACCTTGATCAAGGGTCCTTGAGACATCAAAAATTGTCACAATTGAAGGAACAGGTACAATCTTTATTTTCCATGCAGTAATGACTCCAAAGCTTGACCCTCCCCCTCCTCTTATGGCCCAAAAGAGATCTTCCCCCATCAGTGTTCTATTCAATATTTTCCCACTAACATCAATCATTTGAGCATCAATAACATTATCAGCAGCTAGGCCATACTTTCTGAAAATGGTACCAAAGCCACCTCCACTTAAGTGTCCTCCAACACCAATAGTAGCACAACTCCCAGCTGGGAACCCATGCACCTTACTTCTATTTGCAATTGCATAATAGAGTTCTCCAAGGGTAGCACCTGATTCAACCCACGCACTTTCTTCTTCCATGTTAATGCTTATGGACCTAAGGTTGGTAAGGTCAATGATAAGGAATGGAACATACGAGATATAAGAAAGGCCCTCATAGTCATGCCCCCCACTTCTAACTCTAACTTGAAGGCTGTTTTTCTTTGAGCAAAGAAGTGCTATTTGGATGTGAAAAAGGTTATGTGGAGTAACAATAAAGTTTGGTTTAGGGACTGAACTGTTCAGGAATCTGGTGTTTCTTATAGAAGACTCCAAGACGGGTTCATAAGAAGAACTGCTTCTGGTGTATACTACTCCTGAAGTTGAGTTGTTATCTCCTAATGTTGTCTGGAAACATTGAAGGAAACCTTGGCCAATAGAACTAGAAGTTGAAGGGGAAAATGAGATGAAAATGGTGACAGAAAGGAAAAGTAGTTTCACAATTGAAGTGGCCATTTTTGTTTCCTTGCTCAACTTTTCAACTGATTGCAAGTCTGGATATAGAATTTATAGCCAATTCATGTGGCCGCTTGTGGCATATTTGATTGGAGTCGTGCAAAAGAAAATGACCAATTATGATTCTGGAAAATCATCTTTTGTTTTCTAGCAAATATTAATAAAAAACAGATATATTTTAAAAAGTTATTTCATTTTTTTGGTCTTTGACCGATAATCACAGGCATAACTAAAGCTAACCCAAGTCAAGCGTATAAATTAGGCAAGCCTCACAATCAATTAAACCATAAGTAATCACAATTGAATAAAAATAAATAAATTTTATCAATGAATAATTTTAAACATGTATATATAATAGAAAATAAAGGCGTTAATCAACATTTTCTTTTGTTATTATTTTTCCCCTTATCTTATAGGTTTTTTTTGCCAAAATATAGTAAAATTAAAAGTAAATTACTAAAATAGGGTTTTGATGAAACATTTTCTTTATTTAAAGAAGTTTTATTAGGTTGACTTTGAATATCTTTTCTTATCACAACATTCTTTTTTTCATTATTAAAAAAAAGTTCAAAAACTCTTTAGTATAGAAACTCTATTTCATTCTGTAGTTTCTTTTTATTCTTCTTAGACACAGCTTCAAAGATATTATAAAAGTGGATAAAGATAAATATTTTAGATAAAAATAACTTTGTTAGATTATTCACATGTCACTTTCAAACTTATTCTCTCTCCTATGTTTATATACATTAATCGATTAAATATATCGTCATTTATTTTTTAACATAATTTATATTATTAAAATAATAATTATTGTTCTTGTAAGGAACATCATTTTAGGGATGACATTCAAAATGATGAGGCAAAAACTAGTCTACACAAGAAAAGTATTTTACCAAAACTCTATTTCAGTAATTTATTTTTAATTTTCCATATTTTAGAAAGAAAAAAAAACCTTTTATATACCATCTGGTTTTAATTGATAGGATAAAGTAATTTAAAGGTTGAGCTTCGAGAAAAATCAAATTCCTTGACATTTTCATTATCTTCTTTGTCTTTGAATTTATTCCGTTACTTACATAGCAGCCTAACTTCTCTTTCTTTCCTTGTGCGTCACGTAGAATAAATCTAAATTTTCTTATCTTCTAGTATTACAATTTTAAATTATTAAAACTAATTATTTTTATTTTTAAAATGATAAATATAAATTTATTTAATATTTACTTAATAAAATATATTAAATAAATAAGTAAAAAAAAACTTGACAACGTTCGTCCAATTATTCGATGAAAGTCTTCGGTCTAATAAGAAATTTCTCTTAAATAAATGAATTGCTAGCATAGGTCGGCATTTCCATACTCGATATATGAATTTTCAGAACACTTTTAATAGTTAATATTGACATGTTTTTAGAGATAATTTTAAATATATAAAACTGAAAAACATTTATTAAAAAATAATATCCTAAAAATACTAAATAATTATAAATAACATTTGTAAATAAAAATTATCATTTTTAATCATACCCAAACATTAATATTAACACAGCTGATTTTAAACATATCTTCTTACAGCATCACTTTATTAATTATTTTAATACTTTATAAAAAAACATTTAATATTTTATTTATCAAATAAATAAGAAGATTGGGGAAATTTTTGTAAAAATATTTATAATTTTTATATTATTACTACTAAAAAATTGAAGTTATTAAAACAATATGCTTTAAAAAAACAAAACTTTGATTAATGTAATTAGTTAATTATGTTTAAAGTGATTATTCAGTCAAGCTTGTATTAATTATGCGTACAAGTCATACACTAAATGCTTAATGATTTTCACCTAAAAAATGTGAGGGGTGAACACCGCCCCTTTAAAAGTCCAAGGAAGACTTACACACACACAAATTATGACCGTTCTATGTATAATTTATTAATAAATTTCTTATAAGTGTATTTAAAGACACACAATAAAAATTATCGGTAATAAATTTTTATTTAAAATAATAAAATATAAAAAATTTAACAAAATAATTATATTAAATATAATAATTTTTAATAAAATTTTATTATTTATTAATTACTAAATAATAATACTAAATATTACATTATTTATTTTATTAATTATAATATGTTTTGACTAAATTTACGACATTTTCTTAAGAATTTTATGAATTTAAACTTTTATTAATTAGGTAATTTAATTTTATAAATAAGAGTTGTAACAACTTTTTTTATAAAGAATCAACGACATACTGCATTACTTTTTTTAATTCACTTATTTATTCATTAGATATTGTATGTGCAAATTTTAAAAGTATAAATTTTATCACAAATTGTATTTTGACATTCACATTAATAAAATGAAAGAACACCATGAATATTTTTATATATTATCTAATAAATTTTACATAAATTTATATATTTACAAAACTATTCAGCAAGAAGTTCAAAATACAAGCTATTGAAATAATAATTATATTTCTTGCAAAATATAACAAAATAATCTTGATCTATTTCTACACCCTAAACTGGTAAAAGAAATTAATGCTACTATTTCCCAAAATATTCACTTCATCAATCTTCAGCCAAACCTTCCAGTTTGAGAAGTAGATGCATTACTTGTACCCTAAACTGGTATATTTCACAACATTCAACAAAACAACTTCAATTAATTGATGCAGCATGTTCAGCCTATTCCCAGCCCAACTAATGCAAATGCAACAAATCAGTTTCATCTGATTTTACAGCCTAAGTAATCTAGAGGAACTATTTTCCGGTTTAAGAGCGACCTATCCCGAAATCTGGATCCAGCCTAAACCCTAAACACAACATAGCTTAGCATTTTTATCGTTACATGTCTAACCACCTAAACATGTAACTCGGCTTTAGAATGATAAAAATCACTATGATGCAACACAACTAAATCATCATGTTTCAGCACAACAAAATATTCATTCTCAGTAATACAACAATAAATACATTTTTATCCAGCATTATATGCACAACAAATTCTTATATTTTCAATTTCAATAGTTTCAGCCAAACATATTATTTTACACAGCTTCAATAACTTAATTATATACAAATTCTAACAGCAATACCAAGCATTTCAGTACATAATATCCAATAAAACTAAGTAGCTCAAAATATTAACTAAATGTCCCAGCACACATTCTCGACTCAGAAATTACAGCATTCCAGCATATTATATTCTAGCATGATTTTTCTAAACAATTATCAAACAACAAAGGAATCTACTTAACTACCCAAACTCCATATTTTTAGCCCAAAGTTAACTCCTACAACCCATTATTCTCAGCTAGAATGAAATCTTTTATATAAACACCTCAGCCTCTACTAAATGAACCAGATCAGATTAGGTAAGCTCCCTTTATCTTGAATGAGTTCCAAAATAGTTCTTCTAGTGAGTTATGTAGAGAGAGATCGACCGTTTTGGATGTGGAATACAACTTGAACTGTTCAGATCTACTCAGAACAACCCAATTTAAGTCTCTTAAGAAAGAGAGAGAAGAAACAAGGTAAAATTAAGAACTGAGCTCCGAGAACTCACCTAGACCTCGATGAGATAGAAAATCTCGCTTTAATTGAGAAGGAATTCAGCTTTAAGGAAGAGTAATAGGAGAGAGAACAGAGAGAAAAGTTGTCTGGTGAGAAAATGAAGTTTCTGGGTGCTGATGCCCTTTAAATACCCCTCTAGTGCGCGCGCTCTCGCTCAAGCGAGAAGTAACTCGCTAGAGTGAGCTCGACTCTCGCCTGGGCGAGAAAACCAGATAGTGGAACCTCTCAAATTTCTGATATTCTTGCCTGGGCGAGCATCATTCTCGCTTGGATGAGATTGCGTCCAGAAAGCTACCTATTACTCCTGCGACATCTCACTTGAGTGAGATCACCTCTCGCCTAGGCAAGGGGACAGCTAGGGTGATCCTATCTGTTCTCGCTTGAGCGAGAACACTCTAGGATTCCTAATTCTGCACGACAACTTCTCGCTTGAGCGAGTTTTTCCTCGCTCGAGCGAGACATCTTGCATTCAAAACTCTTAATTTCTCTCTCAAATGAAATTATATTAGTTCTCGATTATACTTCCTAGCTTATTTCATGTACAACACACTTAACAACAAATTTCTAACCTTTCTACTCATCACACTCAACAGCATCATAATACATCATTCAATATATATATATATTGCTCATCACATTACAATTATACAGCTTTCACATTTACATTATAATATATATAGATAATTTATACACTTTAAGCATACACAGCACAATTCAAATAAAATAATAAATACACCGATCTGATAAGAGTTAAATGTATGAACTATTATTTTTCTTCAGGGTTCCTATATATAGTAGATGTGATTTAAAATTTGTGTATTTTATAATTTAATAATATAATTGATTTTGTCTCTGTACCTATGTTTTAATTAATACGATAAATTGTAACTTTTATATTGATTATATATATATATATATATATATATATATATATATATATATATATACTAAATTTTACTACAAACTTACATTTAAACAAAAAAAAAAACATAAATTACATTATTTTAAACTCACTTATAAATAAAATTAGTTCTACAAAATTAAGTTGATTAAAATCAACTTTACAAATATTTGTTCAAATACATATTTAATTTTCTTCCCTTTTTTTTTCTCTAGTCTCTTTTCCTTTATTTTTTTATCTTTTTTTTTCTTTCTTTAAATATCTTTCTTCTTCATTTCCTCTTTTCTCTTTACGGTTTCAACCTCTTTCTTTCTCTTTTATACTTCTCTATTTATTCATTATTTATGAAAAAATATATCATTATTAGTCATTTAGTTTTTTACACAATTTTATAATTTTAAAAAAAATTTAAATTTTTATTAATGTTTATTTTCAGTAAAATTTTAGATTGAAATAGTATTTTTAGTACATGATTTTTAAAATTAAATAAAAATAATTAAATTAATATATCTAACTGAAATATTAA